TGTTAGGTAAGTCTCAAACTATGTTACATTATCGTTGGTAAGTCTCTAACTATGTCACATCATCATTTGTAAATCTCAAACTTTGTTACCTCATCATTGTTAGCTAAGTCTCAAACTATGTTACATTATCATTGGTAAGTCTCAAACTATGTTACATCATCATTTGTAAATCTCAAACTATGTTACATAATCATTGTTAAGTAAGTCTCATACTATGTTACATTATCATTGGTATGTCTCAAACTATGTTATATCATCATTGTTAGGTAAGTCTCAAACTATGTTACAGTATCATTGGTAAGTCTCTAACTATGTCACATCATCATTTGTAAATCTCAAACTATGTTACCTCATCATGGTTAGGTAAGTCTCAAACTATGTTACATTATCACTGGGAAGTCTCAAATTATGTTACATCATCATTGGTAAATCTCAAACTATGTTACATCATCATTGGTAAGTTTCAAACTATGTTACATTATCATTGGTAAGTCTCTGACTATGTCACATCATCATTTGTAAATCTTTAACCATGTAACTTAATCATTGTTAGGTAAATCTAAAACTATATTAAATTATCATTGGTAAGTCTCAAACTATGTTACATCATTATTGGTAAATCTCAAACTATGTTACATAATAATTGTTAGGTAAGTCTCAAACTATGTTACATTATCATTGGTAAGCCTCTAACTATGTCACATCATCATTTGTAAATCTCAAACTATGTTACCTCATCATTGTTAGCTAAGTCTCAAACTATGTTACATTATCATTGGTAAGTCTCAAACTATGTTACATCATCATTGTTAAATCTCAAACTATGTTATATCATCATTGTTAGGTAAGTCTCAAACTATCTTACAGTATCATTGGTAAGTCTCTAACTATGTCACATCATCATTTGTAAATCTCAAACTATGTTACCTCATCATGGTTAGGTAAGTCACAAACTATGTTACATTATCATTGGGAAGTCTCAAACTATGTTACATCATCATTGGTAGATCTCAAACTATGTTACATCATCATTGGTAAGTCTCAAACTATGTTACATTATCATTGTTATGTCTCTGACTATGTCAAATCATCATTTGTAAATCTCAAACTATGTTACTTAATCATTGTTATCTAAGTCTCAAACTATGTTACATTATCATTGGTAAGTCTCAAACTATGTTACATCATCATTGGTAAATCTCAAACTATTTTACATAATCCTTATTAGGTAAGTCTCAAACTATTTTGAATTATCATTGGTAAGTCTCTAACTATGTTACATCATCATTGGTAAATCTCAAACTATGTTACATAATCATTGTTAGGTAAGTCTCATACTATGTTACATTATCATTAGTATGTCTCAAACTATTTTATATCAACATTGTTAGTTAAGTCTCAAACTGTGTTACAGTATCATTGGTAAGTCTCTAACTAAGTCACATAATCATTTGTAAATCTCAAACTATGTTACCTCATCATGGTTAGGTAGTCTCAAACTATGTTACAATATCATTGGGAAGTCTCTGACTATGACACATCATCATTTGTAAATCTCAAACCATGTAACTTAATCATTGTTAGGTAAGTCTCAAACTATATTACATTATCATTGGTAAGTCTCAAACTATGTTACATTATCATTGGTAAGTCTCTGACTATGACACATCATCATTTGTAAATCTCAAACCATGTAACTTAATCATTGTTAGGTAAGTCTCAAACTATATTACATTATCATTGGTAAGTCTCAAACTATGTTACATCATCATTGGTAAATCTCAAACTATGTTACATAATAATTGTTAGGTAAGTCTCAAACTATGTTACATTATCGTTGGTAAGTCTCTAACTATGTCACATCATCATTTGTAAATCTCAAACTTTGTTACCTCATCATTGTTAGCTAAGTCTCAAACTATGTTACATCATCCTTGGTAAATCTCAAACTATGTTACATCATCATTGGTAAGTCTCAAACTATGTTACATTATCATTGGTAAATCTCTGACTATGACACATCATCATTTGTAAATCTCAAACCATGTAACTTAATCATTGTTAGGTAAGTCTCAAGATATATTACATTATCATTGGTAAGTCTCAAACTATGTTACATCATCATTGGTAAATCTCAAACTATGTTACATAATAATTGTTAGGTAAGTCTCAAACTATGTTACATTATCGTTGGTAAGTCTCTAACTATGTCACATCATCATTTGTAAATCTCAAACTTTGTTACCTCATCATTGTTAGCTAAGTCTCAAACTATGTTACATTATCATTGGTAAGTCTCAAACTATGTTACATCATCATTTGTAAATATCAAACTATGTTACATAATCATTGTTAGGTAAGTCTCATACTATGTTACATTATCATTGGTATGTCTCAAACTATGTTATATCATCATTGTTAGGTAAGTCTCAAACTATGTTACAGTATCATTGGTAAGTCTCTAACTATGTCACATCATCATTTGTAAATCTCAAACTATGTTACCTCATCATGGTTAGGTAAGTCTCAAACTATGTTACATTATCACTGGGAAGTCTCAAATTATGTTACATCATCATTGGTAAATCTCAAACTATGTTACATCATCATTGGTAAGTTTCAAACTATGTTACATTATCATTGGTAAGTCTCTGACTATGTCACATCATCATTTGTAAATCTTAAACCATGTAACTTAATCATTGTTAGGTAAATCTAAAACTATATTAAATTATCATTGGTAAGTCTCAAACTATGTTACATCATTATTGGTAAATCTCAAACTATGTTACATAATAATTGTTAGGTAAGTCTCAAACTATGTTACATTATCATTGGTAAGTCTCTAACTATGTCACATCATCATTTGTAAATCTCAAACTATGTTACCTCATCATTGTTAGCTAAGTCTCAAACTATGTTACATTATCATTGGTAAGTCTCAAACTATGTTACATCATCATTGTTAAATCTCAAACTATGTTATATCATCATTGTTAGGTAAGTCTCAAACTATCTTACAGTATCATTGGTAAGTCTCTAAGTATGTCACATCATCATTTGTAAATCTCAAACTATGTTACCTCATCATGGTTAGGTAAGTCACAAACTATGTTACATTATCATTGGGAAGTCTCAAACTATGTTACATCATCATTGGTAGATCTCAAACTATGTTACATCATCATTGGTAAGTCTCAAACTATGTTACATTATCATTGTTATGTCTCTGACTATGTCAAATCATCATTTGTAAATCTCAAACTATGTTACTTAATCATTGTTAGGTAAGTCACAAACTATGTTACTTTATCATTGGTATGTCTCAAACTATGTTACATCATCATTGGTAAATCTCAAACTATGTTACATAATCATTGTTAGGTAAGTCTCAAACTATGTTACATTATCATTGGTAAGTCTCTAACTATGTCACATCATCATTTGTAAATCTCAAACTATGTTACCTCATCATTGTTAGGTAAGTCTCAAACTATGTTACATTATCATTGGTAAGTCTCAAACTATGTTACATCATCATTGGTAAATCTCAAACAATGTTACATAATCATTGTTAGGTAAGTCTCAAACTATGTTACATTATCATTGGTAAGTCTCTAACTATGTCACATCATCATTTGTAAGTCTCAAACTATGTTACATTATCATTGGTAAGTCTCTGACTATGTCACATCATCATTTGTAAATCTCAAACTATGTTACCTCATCATGGTTAGGTAAGTCTCAAACTATGTTAAATTATCATTGGCAAGTCTCAAACTATGTTACATCATCATTGGTAAATCTCAAACTATGTTACATAATCATTGTTAGGTAAGTCTAAAACTATGTTACATTATCATTGGTAAGTCTCTAACTATGTCACATCATCATTTGTAAATCTCAAACTATGTTACATAATCATTGTTAGGTAAGTTTCAAACTATGTTACATTATCATTGTTAGGTAAATCTCAAACTATGTTACATAATCATTGTTAGGTAAGTCTCAAACTATGTTACATTATCATTGGTAAGTCTCAAACTAAGTTACATCATCATTGGTAAATCTCAAACTATGTTACATAATCATTGTTAGGTAAGTCTCAAACTATGTTTCATTATCATTGGTAAGTCTCTAACTATGTCACATCATCATTTGTAAATCTCAAACTATGTTACATAATCATTGTTAGGTAAGTCTCAAACTATGTTACATAATCATTGTTAGGTAAATCTCAAACTATGTTACATAATCATTGTTAGGTAAGTCTCAAACTATGTTACATTATCATTGGTAAGTCTCAAACTACGTTACATCATCATTGGTAAATCTCAAACTATGTTACATAATCATTGTTAGGTAAGTCTCAAACTATGTCACATCATCATTTGTAAATCTCAAACTATGTTACCTCATCATTGTTAGGTAAGTCTCAAACTATGTTATCTCATCATTGTTAGTTAAGTCTCGAACTACGTTACATCATCATTGATAAGTCTAGATTGGGATCTTGTTAAATGTTTGCCGCCTATGATAACTTGTAACGACATTACCCATCTATTAAGAAAGAATTGAACAGTAAAGCATATTCAAATTTTCTACCTTGAAACAAATTAGCCCCTTTTGCAAAAGGGTTCAAATAGTTAACATGAACCCTAGATTGCTATTGTTGGAACACGGGCAGTATGTTATTAGGTTAATAAATTGGAAATCCATCCAAGAATCAGTAATCAATTACATTCAGCTCTTGATTCCAGACAAATCATCAAGAATAGTTTTCTCAAACTACAGCTCTAGTCATAAATGTTATCACAAAGTATGAATTTTATGAAAAAAAGTTTTTCGTCTCTTTCGTATGTTTACCTAATCAATCACCAAAAAATCCGAATTCATTTTATAACAATAGCAAATTGAAGAACGCCTGAACTCTTCTTGTTATTGTTTTTGACATAAAAATTCACACTTAAAATGGTTCGCATTGCGTGTTTGTATTGCAGGTGTGCTGCAGATTTACTGGATCGACACTTTCCTGATGGGGTCGACTGAGTCATCACTGTTCTCGTACTACAGAAGCATATTCACAGAGTCATACGCCATCAAGGTGCTAGAGTAAGTATGTTTCCCTAGCTCGCAAAGAGAAAGCAATTTTCGCGGAGTCACAAATGTAGGTGCATTAAGACTTGTATGATGGGCTTTTAAAAATAATAATGGCTCTAATAATCCGTAGCTCACAGAGCCAACACACCGATTTTACAGAATACAAAAAAGTTTAAAAATCGAATTTGTTAGAGAAAATTGCATCGAAGCTGTTCCAGAAAACTCTTTAGCGCAAAACTTTTTTTTTTACCGTTGAAACATGTTAACTTTTAACTTGTTAAGCTTGAATGGAACAGCTGCTGACAGCAGCCATTTTAGGAGGTGGAATGTGTGTTCTTCTTTAAGGAATTTGACACACCCGGCTGCTGCAACCAAAGGATGCCCTTTTGTAGAAGTAAACTCATTGGAGGTGTAAGAATGTACATTGTTAACAAAGAAAACGTACAAGAACAACTTTAATTCTTTTTCGTCACCAGCGCCAATAGCTAAATGCATAGTTTACGACTACCCTTGGTACCATACGATAAAAATGTAATACATAATACGTAATAAGCATAAGATTACATTATATACGTAAGAAGCATTACCTTATATATCTCATTACACTCCCCCTTCATTAATTTGAAATGTTGAGCAATCAATTTACTGCTCCAATAACATATAAGTACTTTTTACCCTTCATTCAAAATGTCTGTTAATAAGATTCTGTCACTTTTTGCCCTAACAAGGCAAGTCTTAAGTAGTCAATGTTGTTTCAAGGAGTTCACAGTCAAAGAGTCAAGGAGTTCACAGGCTCTCCAACTTCCCTGAAATCTGACGATGTTCTTCCTCGGTCATACCTATTGCTGATAACTCGTCCGTGATATTCTAATCATCTGTCACCATCGGCCTACTCAAATCCCCACTCACACTGGTTATATCCGCAACTCCTTGTATGATTGCTGAAGGCTCTTCGCGGTCGTAACCTAATTGCTCTTTGATCGGCGAATCAATATCACCGTGGGATCTGCTTCCATCGACGTCTACTCGGAGAGCGGTGATGACAATTATGGTATTACCACATGTTGATTGGTCACTAACGCGGCCGGCATGGTTGCCACTGGTGTTAGGTCTAATCAAACTGTTCCTTCAGACCCTGATTCAACCGTTTCCGGTACGACTCCAAACTTGACTCGCCGAGCGCTCTGTGTTGGGCTATTATCACCCTCCGACAGAACTCTGTTGAGCAACTCTCGACCCATTTTGTCAATGGCTTACCTAGTCCGCTGGATTTCAGCCTGAGCCGCTTCGACCATTTCATCCAACCCCGGGTTCTTCCGACTATTGCGAATAGGCGACTCAAGTCTTTGATGAAGTGACGGTAGGCGGAATTCATCGATCGTGTTCCATTGCGAATCAGTTACTAGCACTATTCCCTTCGATTTCTTGTTGATCCTACGTTGCTTGTCTAGTACATCGACGAAATGTCCCAAGAACGGTTTTTCCTAATAGCTGATATCGTCCTGAACGTTATCCGCTCCTTATTAAAAACGACATATCTCTCGGTCAAAGTATTTGTCCTCTGCGTTACTTTTTTAGGACTCGGGATCTTCTTCGGAGTCACTATTTTTTCTTTCTTTCGGGCTCATCTGTCTCCACAATGGCTCGCTCCCCTGGATTGGTTAGTCGTTTTATATGACAACCCTGGGGCCTCTTTTTGGCAACTTAGTGCCCTCGTCCTCCGAGCTGTATTTCGTCTGGGTTACGTTAATAGTTCTAGCATCCGCTGTATCCTTACTGGTGAAAATTGCTCCGTCAGAAATTTCGGTGGTTTGCGGTCTCGTAGTAGGTCGTACTATTGGCTTTGGGGTTCCAGCTAGTGGACTTCTCGTTTTCTCCGGCTCGTCGGTGTGTCTTTTGGTGGCGAGCTAAGACACTACATCTTAACTGGTTCGGGCGTTGCAGTTAACCCCTCCGATTCTTTGCGAGGACTTGTTACCCATCTTGAACACCCAATACCGAGGACTCGTTAGCCGTTTGGCAATTTTAGTTCACTTCATCTTGGCAACTGTGCTCCTTCACTCCTCTTTCGATGTCCATTCTTATTCCGCTATTTTTTTCGGAGCTAGAGTACGGGATTTTTCCTCAAACCTTCGAAAGCTATAAATTGCAGGATCCAGCTCGGAAGCCGATTTCCTTTTCTGGTTTCCTATTGAGTTTTCTACCGACAATAATCCGTCCGAAGAACAGTCGATAACGCTCGGATTATCCACTGATCCTGCCACTTCAGTTGAATTGTCCGCATTCTTGGTCGTTGCTTTTAACGACTCGTTTGGAAGGTCTTGTGATTCCTTTATCTGCCTTCCTCTGATCACTAGGTGCGTCCACTTGCCCCCCAACTGTAACAGTTGGTACAATACTGTGTGGTCGTCGAGACGTATGAGGTTTCCCTCATATCCGGTCATATGTTCCCATTGTACTCTCATCGTCCGGTAATGTGTAATTCGGCATTACTTGGGCCGGAAATATCTTCTTATCCTTATGTAAGGAACATAACACATTTATCCAAGACAAATTATTTGAGGACGCAAGTTTAGGGCCCGTATGCCAAAAGTATTTGACTTCCGGCCAAAATGGTTTTCGAATAGCAAAACTCCCATTGACTGGTGGACAGTTGTTCGAAAACTAAACAAGTGCCGTTTTAAGAGCCAACTTTGATTTTTGGAAAGAGCTTGGCTTGAGGTGTTGCGTATTGTTCGAATACACCGCTCTACAAGCCCTGTTGGCTCGTGGTTACCCACCGGTGCGAATATCAACCGAATAATGTTTTTCGCGCAGAAGTCATCGATGGGTTTCGAGATGAGTACCGATATTTGGTCTGTCCAGATTACTCACGGTATTGCGTGCAACGTAATATAGTTCTTCATATTTTCCAAAAATACCCAAGCCATTGAGCTGGTAGTAATTTGGATTGAAGTTTTCTTAGAAAATCTAGCCACGCACATAATTATGAAAAAATTACCACCCGAAAACGACGGCAACAATCCAGGAAATCTAACTAGTTTCTTGATTTGGTTCCTCTAGCAGATCAATTTTTGTAACTTCCCCTAGGGAATGACCGATTTCAATTTCCTACCGTATTTGATGCAGTCTCGACTATTCGCGGCCGTCAGTTGAATTTGACGGATCATATGAGGTCACCAAAAGTAACTATTTGCCGCTTCCTTCATTTTCCTCATCATAGTTAAGGCCCTTAATTGCGGCGGCATCACCATCTTATCTGCTATTATATCGTTTGATGCGTACAGCTTGTCGAGATAATTGGTAAAATAAGGGTCTAAGTCTCGAATCTAGTTTAATTTATTTGATTGTAATGCTTCAACAATAAAATTTATTATTTTGTCTGCTTTAGTGAGAATTGCAACAAACTCTGGCCACTCAATCAAGGTAAACGGAAACATTTCCGGTGAAATCAAAGTTGATTCAGCGGACGGCTATCTCGGCGAATTAGTCCCTTGGACAATAATGGCGGGTAACTTTTGGGTCTTCTACCATTTTCGATGAAATAAATTTCGCTCCATTTTTGTGCTGCATATTACCTCATGATTTCGATCATTCTCAGCGGTGTTTATTCTAGCCATTGGTTAGAGCAGCGTACTAGTTGCAATATGTTGTGGTACTACCAATGTATTGTCAAGATCTGACATTTTCGTGGCTGCTCTCACTGGGTGCCTAAACAAAGTAACTACCAATCGCATATTCTTTTGGTGGAATATGTTCAATTTCGTCGTCAAAATGTAACAGCTGGTCTACCCACTGTACTAACCGAGCTTGGGTTGTTTTGTGTTTTTCTCACCTGATAAACACAATTACAATGCTTTTTGATCTGTTATTATTTTCAATGGAGCACCAAATATATAATTTTGGTGATGAGGCATTGCCCAAACGACTGCTAAAAGTTCTTAAATATTAAAAATTTACTTTAACTCTGCACCGTTCAGAAACCTGGGTGCATACTAAACGGCTTTCCATCCATCTTCGTGTAATTGCTCTAATACAGTCCCCAGGCCCTGTTTCGAGGCGTCACATTTCACTCTAGTTAGTTTTTGAACGTCAAAATCATGATTTTGGACAAAATCATCCACGATTTCTGTCATCTGCTGAAATGCCTTTTCATGGACTACTCTCTTTTCAAAACGGGAATGTTTTTTCATTAAACTCCTGAACTGTTCAGTGGTAGCGTCAAGACTGAGTATGAACCTAATGAACTGATTAATGGGGCCAATCAATGACCTAATATCCGTTTTATTTTCCGGTTGTTTCATTTTTATGATAGACTCATTTCTTCATTCTACCGGTACGGTAAATTTAGTGAATAAAAAAATCCCAACCACTCTAATTTTTTATAGATTGACGTTCTTTGGAACTCGGGGTTGTAATGAGTATATCATCTAAACATCTAAATCTACGTGCACACCTGGTAAGTGGCCCAACAAAGAATCCATAACCCCTTGGAAGTCGTTAGGCATATCCCCAAACCATATAACCCCGCTTTGATCCGGTGTGTTCCTGTTGAGTTGTCACCAACAATACTAAAATTACATTGCCGGCTGGTAGTTTCGCTCTGAGAATGCGCGTACATCAGGTTGACGACCACATGGGATCAATGGTGTTTCCACTAACAGCTAAAGTTACGTTATCAACCAATTCATTTTTGTTGGGCATCTCAAAGCAATTCTGATAAAAATTTGTTCATTTATTAATTTCGAGTTCAACGCTAATTTCACTGATCCGGTGCAACCATCGGTAAAACAAAACAATTTTCTGTACAATTTCCCAATTTCACAAGGTGGCCCTCTTTTAGCAATATGCCAATTGTATCCTCCATTTGAGGCAATATGTGAACGGTACCCGTTTGCCCCTAACCTGTATCGGACGCTGCGATTCGTGAAAATGCGTTCACAATTTGCGTTTTGTATTACTCTCTTTTGTTCAAACAAATCGTTAAAAATCGGCAAAAAATACTTAAAGAAATTACGTTGGATTGGAGGGTATTTTATTTCCAAGCAATCAATCCCTTGCTCAACTTCGTTGACCGACTATGCCATCGGTTTCTGCCAAACTTCGATTCCCAAATGCGGTTCGACATTTTTCCAATGATTATTGATTGGCCGTCTCTGGTAATAAACAGTTCCGCGCTTTTTGCTAATCATCCTTCGGACCTAATATCGATGAGGATTCTTCCGATTATTTTGACCGTGCCATCAGTCGCACTAAAGAATGCATTTTTCAAATGTCCCGGGACCGAACGATTCTTTATAAATCTGTCCTGAGTTTTGAGCTCGTGTAATTTTGTCAGCTAGATGAAAGACACCCACCAGGCTAGTGCAATCTGACGAGAAATTCAGTTTGCAAGGGTTTTTCCCCATTTGAACAATTTTCTATTTTGTTACCAGTTTTGTCCCACGCCGTTCGTATCGCGATAACGCCAAACTCCTAATCACACTTCTCTTCATTACAATTTTTCATTATATTCGTTTTGTACTGAGTAAACTCAAATTTGTCGATTGGGAAAATTGTTCCGAAATTCTTCATTTCGCATATTGAATATAAACACATCCCAAACTAAAGACTCCTCTTTCGGGCCAAAGTCACACCCTCGGGATAGATCACTTAATGCTCCATAAAACTGTTCAATCCCCTAGTTTTCACGTTGTTTTATCCCGAAGAGGTTAAATCTACAGTTGAGCTTCTTCCGTCCCAATAGGTTCTTCCAAGGGTACACATTCTCCGGTAGCGTATTTGCTGCAAATATATAGTCAATGTCTATCTCTTCCATGGCAATTACGACGAGTTGGAATTTTTGCGCCCAATCTTGCCAAGGTACCGGCGGCTCCTGAGTCGGTCCGCATCTAGTCCACAGTAACTCGATTGCGTTTGTGACTGCCTCACGTAGAAGTATACTCATTGGAGGTGTGATAATGTCTATTGTCAACAAAGAAAACGTAAAAGAACAACTTTAATTCTTTTTCGTCACCAGCGCCAATGACTAAACGCGTAATTTATACAATAACAATTTAATACTTATTACTTAATAAGCATAAATTACTTAATACACCTCACTACACCCTTTGGAACTGATTTACGACTTCTGTTTTCGGACACCGTAGAAATATTCTGAAAGCAAGATTAATCAGACGCATTGAAAAGAATTCAAAATTGGCCCAAAAACAGCAAATAAAAAACAATTTTGCCTATTTAGCGCCTCATTGGGGTTTAAGGAGAGCTCAGTTATGTATTTGGTGGAATTAAAAAAACTTGATGGAATGCTTGGAATTATTCTTGAGAAAAAATCATAGGTCCGGATCTAATCATATTAATTCACCAGCCCGGAATATGCTTGGCTATGTTACCGCCAAGTCATAAGCTACCAAACAGCTATAAGGGAATGACCCGATTGTTACTTATTGTTCCAATTTTCAAAAAAAGTAACGGTACCAATCGCCTTTGAAAATAGTTGCGAAATATATCACTTTAAACTTAAAATTACATGCAGGCGAACGTATTCAAAGCGTAAGGTACGAATTAATCTGACTCAGAATTTCAAACTTGGTCGAAAATTGAGTTATTCAGATTTTGGCACTGCGCGTCGGGTTTAAAAGGAGTGGTAATTTTCAGGGCTCTTCTCTGATATTCGAAATGTTTCTTAACTTAGGCTTCATAATTCTGCAAACAACATAAAAAAAGTTAAGCGTTTTTATTTTCCACTCACTTTCATTGAAAAAAAAAACAACAAAACGGGATCGGTAGACCTAAACACATGTTTAATAATTTCTTTCATGACTTCTGACTAAATAGCTTCAAGGTTAGCCTTAGGTTCGCTGATGAAAAAATTAACAATTTGTCTGTTTTTTTCTATCATAGAAATAAACTAGCAAGATGGCAAATGCAAACGATAACCCAAAAATAACAAATTGTTCTTTTTTCTAATTTTGTATTCAATTAGCGAAGACTGATTAAATATGTGAACAGAAGTTATAAAAATTTTCACCACAAAACGTTCTTCAGTTTTTCGTAGTAGTTTTATGGCATTTTCATTCAACTTCCAAGTGTTACAGCTCGGTTTCATTGTAGTTTTTTGAATCTTTTTTTTCTTTTTTCTTCGATTTGTGATGTCGTTTTTGACGCTTTTCTGTTCCTAGAAACCCTTTCATAGCAGCGACATAGTAAAAACTCCCGACTAGATTAGCAGCCAAAAACAGGCACAGCAAAACCCAGAAAGTAATTCTCATCCAAAGCGGCGTCATATATCCAATCGCTATTGTATCTGGCTCGAAGAAGTCCAGCGGTATGCATATGTAATCTGTGATTCCACTTGACCTTTTAAGATGGGTGCAAACATCAGTTCCACTGCAACCTAGGGTTTTTTTCGGGTCATTGTACCACTCTATTATTTTCGCCCAGTGTTTTCACAATTTTCATCATGTTCTTATCAATTGAGAAAGTGAAAATACGTTATTATGCAAGTTGAATTTTTTACTGGTAGAATTTCGGTTCAATTATGGATGAAGTGTTTAAGAAAGACATACAATAAAACCGAGGCTTCGAAAAATTTTTAAGTCGCCTTTCTTCGTTATTATTTTTACTTTCTATGATTGGTACAGATTTTCATATGTCACTTTCAGATTTCAGAATTTCCATATTTTTAATTTTTTGTTATTGTTTTTTATTTATTTTATATTTCTTATTTTTATAATAGTCATTTTGGAGTTTTTATATATATATTTTTTTAATATTCTTTATTTTAAAAAATTTAGAGTTTTTTTTGTTAATTTTAAGCGGAAAAAAGACCCCAACCTGTATCATGACAGCTTCTGATTCTCACATTAAACCTCGTTCCCAAAATTACAGAATCCTTCAACTCCACGACGCAATAATACACCCCTATGTCTCTTTCTTGAATGTCTTTAAGTTTCAAAGAGGCGCCTTCAATCGAATATTTTGAGTTCGTTAAACCATGATCAATTCTTCGTCCTTCGGGAGTGACGAAGTAGAAATAGACTGGATCGTTCTCGTGAACTGTCTGTGAGCCGAGAAGGTCTTTCTTGATTCGGCAACTGAGTGTTTTTGTGTCGCCTGGTTCCATAAAAACTTGTTTTGTTTTCTCGTCAAATTGGTCAGCTGTCAGAGCTTCGATGAGACGGGAGTTCTCTAGCCTTAAACAATGCTAAAACATCAGAAGACGTTTCCTTCTTATTTTGGAATTACATTTTAAAAAAATTAGAGATTTTTTTTGTTCTCAGATAGCTCCTAATCAGAGGCGGATCTAAGATTTTCTCAAGGGGGGGGGGGGGGTGGGGGGTCGCGGATTTTCAAAATTTATTCGAAAGTTTGTCGACTTTTTTTGTACTTAAAAGACCCTGGTTGCGCCAAATTTTTTGCGCCGCGTTTTGAAAAAAAGAACAGGCCAAAAAAAAAACGTTTTCAGGCACTTTTTGAAAATGTTTGCCTACCCCCCCCCCCCCCCCCCCCCGCCCCTAAATCCGCCCCTGCTCCTAAACATTTTTGATGTTCTAACGTTTTTGAAGTATAAATTTTTGTGATTTTTGCAGTCCAGCCTCAATTGAGCTTTAGAAACAAAAAAGATTTCACGGGTACCTAAAAAATAAGTTTTTAGAAAACTCTTCTTAATTTTTTTCAATATTTCGATTTTGACAAAACTTATCATTCTAAATAAGAGAAAAACTGTTGTAGCTGAAACGAAAAATATCAATTTAAAGATTTATTCAAACTTGGGACTGTATTTCTTTTTCCTCGTGTCTTCTGCTGAGGAGTATGTCCTGACATTGTACCCTAAGTTGGTCATGTCTTTCGCCCTCCATAGATTTTCACAGTCCACTAATTCCACTGTCACTGTTGCCACTTCACACGCCATATGAGGACACAAACTACAAGCATCAAAAGCAGTTTTAAATCAGAATAATGGACCAAAAAATTGTGGATTCTGCGACAGGTTTTTGAGAGTTCGCGGAATAAAGACGAAGAATCAGCCTACACTGAAGCAGGGGCGGATTTAGGGGGGGGGCGGGGGGGGGGGGGGCGGACGCCCCCCCCCCTCAGGGATTCGACCCCCTGCCGACCCAAAGGGTCCCCCCTTTGATATTTTTTCAGAAATCCATTTTTGGCCGACCGACCCTAAAATTTTTCTAAAGGCGCCTTTGGCGCCAATATATACTAACTTTGAGGGGGAGCGCGCGCCAAAAAAAACGCAATTTTTTTGTCAACATTTTTCAAAAATTGCCCAAAAACGGCTTTTTTGACTGTTTTTTCAAAAATTTGCCTGCGGCGCAGAACATTTTGCCAAAGTAGGGGCAAAACAGTGCTTTGGGAGAGCTCGAAAAATCAATTTGGTCGACCTAAAAAAAAAAAAGGTCGTCAAAATTTTGGAAAATTTTTTGAAAATCCGCCCCCGCCCCTCGAGAAAATCCTAGATCCGCCCCTGCACTGAAGCATAATAATATGCTACGCAAAATGAAACACCTATAGGAATCGTAATGCTCCTCCCCCTTCAAGCTTTTTAACTTTATTTTAAGCTGAAATTTTTCGCTCATAAGAATCCAGCATTAACATTCAAATATTGCAGCATTTTACAATTCAAATTTTGCGGAGGAAGATCTTAACTTGGTTGATTTATGAGAGAGGATGTTAACTTGATCCAAAACTTTTGGTAGCAAACAAATATTTTGAGACAAACTAAATTGCCAACTTCATTGAACTAATCACCAAATTAATCAATTGGGATGAAATCTTACCTGTATTTCCAACCATGGTAATCTGGATCAGTCACGTTGTCTCCTAAACCAGAACTTCTATTTTTGCATCCTCGCCAACCAGTGCCCTTCACCCCATCCATCGCTATTCGACTCTCTGGACTTTCGTCAAAGAGCACTCTTAAATTTCTTTCGAAACCCTCCATATGCAAAGATACTTCATTTGAAGCGACTTTGTCAAGTTTTGTTAAGTTCAACGCACACACAGCCGATTGTTTCTTCATACCAAAAACGTTGCCATCTTCTGAAAATTGACATTCTTTTGTGGTGTTATGAATAAAAACATTTCCCATTTGCAATCCGTAACTTATGATAACTAAAAATAAACCGGTTAGTGATGATTTCAGAGATATATCGCCATTTGCGAAAAGAACAACGTCGGCTGCTTGTTCGAACACTTCTTGCTTCATCATCAAAATAATGAAAACTCTGATTTAGAAATTATTCGAAAAAACTGGAAAAAAAGATAAGTCATTTTTTGAGTAAAATCTCACATAGTGAGTACAATAATGATGTGCAACTTATGCACTGATCGGTTAGCATGCTCATATTGATGAAATGGTCCAGAGATTGTTTCATTGTAGTCTTCTGCTGGTCATAAAATTTGCGAAAACCTGTAAAGGTAGAAAACTGGTCCATGTGAACAATCCCCGCCTATATTACACAACGACCAATATCCACAGCTAAAATAAACGAATCCATCTGTTTAACATATCAGAAGACTATTGAACCTAACAACTGATTTGGAAAAAAACAGAGCAGTGCTGGATCTAGTTTGTTTCAAAAATGCGCCATAAGAAAGGACCTGATTATCGATCTAAAATGTCCAGACTATCAACCAAATTTTAATTGACAAAAATATTTTCTTAACTAATACCCTCTGATATCTAGTAACGAACATCCAACCCAATGAATAATTGATAAAGCGATTTAGCATATTAGCATAAGCAAACTTTGTACCTAACAACGAATTTCCCCTGCTTTGGAATAGGTTACAAGGGGTATAACTATAGGGATCCGGGAAAGCTGCCAATGTTTGATCCATTATAACATTTTTGCTCTAATTTTTTTGTAGAACCAAGCATGTCAAAGCCTTGATCTAATCAGTATATATCTCCTGTCTAGAATTTCTATTAGATCTTCTGAAGTAGCTTTCAATGATTTATTGTTTTTAGGAGCCTGGCGCACGACAACTCCTCCCTCGAACTGTCGCCCAAGTTCCCACGCATCACCATGTGTGAGTTCGAAGTGCGGTCGGTGGGGGAACTGCTCACATACAATGTGCAGTGTGTGCTGCCTTTGAATCTGTTCAACGAGAAGATATTCCTCTTTCTCTGGATGTGGATTATGTTCGTACTCATCATGACTGTCATCAACATGTTCGGTGAGAGACGAAATTTTTGAATTCAGGGACCGACATAGGATGTTTTCCAGTAAAACATTAAAAAAACTTACAATCAGAGCATCAAAGTCTGAGACCTCGAGAGGACAGACAACGGGAGAAGCCAAAAAAGGGGGTTCAAAAATGGAAAATATTTGCCCTCCGCTCATTTTCTTCTCCTTTAATCCACTCCGGTTAGATTTGTGCAAAAGAGAGCTCGAACTTCGCTTTGGATTTTTCGACCAAAAACAATGCGTTCATCTGTTCGACAAGCCCCCCCCCCCCCCCGCACTCAACAAGTCACAAAAAATCTTGAAGCCGATGGGTTCAAATCGGATTTAGTAAAAAAAGGCTCCTTGGTTGATCCTGCTTTCAAAATCTTGAAAGGGAAATCTTCCCTATCTTCCCTTTTACTTGCATTACTCATCGGCTTAAAAACTAGGCTTCAACCCCCAAAACTGTTCCTCGTTATTTTCCTCCATCTCAAGTTTTCTGCTTGTTAGTGTTAATATATATATTTTTTGTCCATGAAGATTGATACTAAACTATTGAATACAGTTTTTTGTAATGTTTCAGAAATTTATGACTTCTCAAAAATAAAGCTGCAGAATATGAGAGCGGTCTAACATATTTTCTCAGATAAACCGGTAATATTTCATTACAAAATCTCGGGTTACCTAGCCAGGAGAAATCCAGAGACATTCTGCCAAGGTTTAAAGAATCTTAGTCATCCCCGTGCTTCCTGGCAGCCGCTGGTAGAAAGTTTGGTCTTTTTCATTCACAAAAAAAAACTGTTGTTATTCTTTGCTTGCCATAAACTAGTCAATGCAAAACTCAAAATCTTGTATTTATTACTAAAAAAATACTGAGCTCCTGCTATGTTTGTAATATTTCTGAGGAATCTATGAAATAAACAGTCTGAAAACTCTCATTTCAAAATAAATTTTTGTCAGATTCCACAAAAGTTTCATTTTACGCAGCGTTGTTTCTGAAAAAAAAACATTTGTTTCTGAAAACATACGAAAAACTATCCTCACCAATTTTGCATCAGTGATTCATGAAAAAAACTCTAATTGAAACACATGAAAAAAGTGAATAGAAGTCAATCGGGGACTTTCTCAAAGGGGAGGGGAAATGAAAACTTTGTCGCATTTTTTGGCTAACAAATGTCATAGTGCTAAATCAATTATCCAAGTCTATTTAGTTCTTGGTAGTTCCTTTTGTCAATAATTTCATTTCATTTCAAGGCTAGACATCTTTGGCAGGTGTTTGGCCTTCGAAATGTTTGACACCTTCGGCTATTATCTAAAACATTGTCTCGTTTGATCTAAGCTATAATCAAGTTGCATTTTCTGGAAGTCTTAATTCAAGTATCGAATTAGCGTTTTTCACATGGCGCACTCAACAGGCCCAAGTGGGGGGAAAACCCACTAGAAATTCAACCATTTTGGTCGGCTAAAATTGCGGAACCTCCCATGTTATGGGCATTTTGGTTGAATCGCTTCTAGTGGGAAGTAGTCGCGAAACATTCCAGAAATCCAAATAATTATTACTACGCGGTTTATACTGGACGCCACGCAGATAGCGGCGTTGACGGAAGAAGTGGATGGAAAAAACAGGTTAGCGGGGGAACAAACCTTAATCTCGAACTTTTACCTTTGCCCGGGGGAGAAAGGACAGGAGGAAGTTCACAAACGTAGACCATATCTGGAATTGGGAGACGAACGTTATCCGAGGGTGCTCGATGTGATGGAGGGGGAATTAAAAAAGGAACGAAGTTAAATCTACGAAGTATTTCAGCTGTTGTCGAGAAAGCGGAGAATCAGGGGATCATTGGAGGAATTTCATACAGTTCTTCGTGGATTGGGGGCGCGTTTTTCATTCGGGAACAGGAGTCACGAGAGTTACGCGATGTTTTCATCGTTAATATGACGAATCGTGAGGCCCAAAACGAGTTGTGCAGGGCCACAAAAACCCCGGAAGAAGCGTGGCGGATCGCTCTCTCTTACGATCGAGAGGACAAATACGCTAAAACTTACGTTATGACCGGAGGCACAGCGTCGAGCAGTACCGGAGGCGGCGGAATACAAATCAAATCGGAATCGGAGGAAACTATTTGAGGAAGATATCGAAGTAACCGGGGGAGAGTACGGGGCCAAACGCAAGGCCGAGGATCTTACCGAGGGGCAATACACGGGAGACCGGAGGTGCTATAATTGCGACAAACCCGGGTTCACGAGAGAACACATGAGCGAGTTTGCTGCCACGAATGTGACCGGCAAATTCTGCCGGAAAAATGGGCATTTTGAACGGAACTGTCGGGCCAAGAAAAACAATAGTGGGAGTTCATCGGTCGGGATTATTAAGGGGCAGGATAGTCAGGAACGATTTGAATAGGAAGAAACGGGGGACGAAGGTTATTTGAAGGATTTTAAATCGCGATTATGGGAATAATCCAATAATCTCATGAAAATGGAGCTGGCATCGAATGGTTGGAGTACAACTGCTGTAATCACGGTAATTGGAGGAGCTCGACCATCCATCATCGGACGAGACTAGTTGACCCTCTTAGGATTGCAGTTAGTCCAGAGAAAGCCGGGTCAAGAAGTGATGGCGATCCAGGACAGAGCCGGTGACGACGACTACGACGTCAAGTTGGAGAAGTGCAGGATTACAAGTAAGCAATTCACTAATCTCTTTAAATGTGTGGAAAAAAATACGTAATTATAAAGTGCAGGCTGACTTTTTTGCTAATCTGACACCGATTCAACAAAAGGAACGAAGGATCCCAATCACGCTGCAAGAGAAGGTTGACGGGGAGATTGATAAACTAATTAAACAAGGGCATATAGAAAAATTGGAAGAATCTTTAGACAAATTTTTTGTATCACCGATTGTAATCACGGTGAAGAAGGACGACTCGGTAAAACTCGCACTGGAGGCACGTGAATTGAATAAGCAAGTACAAAAAAATAAATACCTAAAGCCGAACATTGAACAACTAATGAACGCCGTCGGTCAAACGATAAGTGAAAAGAAATTGGGCGAAAGACTTTGGATTTCACCTACGCGTAGGGACAACGGCCGCTAAGTTAACATACCAGCTTACCTTGTAATTTCTCATTAGTAGGCGGAAAATTGACCGGATCGTATAGGTTCAAAACCGGATTCTATGGCCTAACCACAATGCCGGCGGAATTTCAACGAGTAATGGATTCCATCCTTTCGGAATATCCACAGGCGCATGCGTTTATCGATGAGATCTTAGTTGTTAAAAAGATTCGGAAATCGAACGTATATCAACCGTGGAAAAAATCCTACGGAAGTTAGACAAAGAAAAATTGTCATTGAAGCTAACAAAATGTAATTTCGCCCAAACCGCTCATTCGGAAAACGGAGCCAGTCGAAGCACTCAAACCGCCTCGCACACTATCTCAACTAAATTCGCTTATTGGGCCATTTCATAGTCTGCACAAAACTTACCAGCGTTGGCGGAATCACCAGCACCGCTATGACCGTTACTTAGCAAGAAAAACGAATATACCTGGACAACGGAGTGTCAGGAAGTATTAGCAATTTTGAAACGGCATGTAGCGAATATCGTGGAGCTTAGGCATTTTGATGTACATAAGGGTATTTGGATAGTGCGCGACGCTAGCCACAACGGAGTGGGGGCTGTACTAGAGCAACTTAGTATCGAAGGTTGGAGACCATTTTCATTTGCATCGCTGTACTTGAATGACGCCGAAAAGCGGTATTCAACAAACAAACTAAATTTTTGTTGAAATAAATAAATTTTTGTTGAATCTATGAAATAAACAGTCTGAAACTCTCATTTCAAAATAAACTTTTGTCAGATTCCACAAAAGTTTCATTTTACGCAGCTTTGTTTCTGAAAAAAAAAAACATTTGTTTCTGAAAACATACGAAAAACTATCCTCACCAATTTTGCATCAGTGATTCATGAAAAAAACTCTAATTGAAACACATGAAAAAAGTGAATAGAAGTCAATCGGGGACTTTCTCAAAGGGGAGGGGAAATGAAAACTTTGTCGCATTTTTTGGCTAACAAATGTCATAGTGCTAAATCAATTATCCAAGTCTATTTAGTTCTTGGTAGTTCCTTTTGTCAATAATTGCATTTCATTTCAAGGCTAGACATCTTTGGCAGGTGTTTGGCCTTCGAAATGTTTGCCACCTTCGGCTATTATCTAAAACATTGTCTCGTTTGATCTAAGCTATAATCAAGTTGCATTTTCTGGAAGTCTTAATTCAAGTATCGAATTAGCGTTTTTCACATGGCGCACTCAACAGGCCCAAGTGGGGGGAAAACCCACTAGAAATTCAACCATTTTGGTCGGCTAAAATTGCGGAACCTCCCATGTTATGGGCATTTTGGTTGAATCGCTTCTAGTGGGAAGTAGTCGCGAAACATTAACCTGGCGCATACCATTATGTCTATAGTTCCTCGTAATTGTAAAGTTGTTTCTAAATCCAGAGCATTACCAGAGTTATTCAATCTTCGCTTCATTGAATCGCAATACTCGTCAGACCCTCAGCTGGAAGCTATTTATCAATTAATTAAATCAAAAGACCCGGAAGCTATGAACCGTTACTAAGCAAAATTTGTAAATGATTTTCACAGTAAAGAAAATTGCTTTTGGATGGATGATAAATTAGTTATCCCAAATTCTCTGCACAAAGCGATCAATAATTGGTTACACTAGTATCATCATGGGAAGAGTAAAATGTTTGCGGCGGAGAAGGGTAATTGAATGACGCCGTACATCCATCGGAACATCGCTTCCATTGCAGAAAAATGCCTGGAGTGTTTACTCGGCGGTAAGAATTTAAAATCTATGTGTTTTAAAAGGGACCTAGGCAAAATATCCGAACCTAAATAGCCTAATGAGGCCGTCCAGCTGGACTTTAGGGACGCATAAACAACCTGCAGGAATCAAAAAAATACTTGATAGTAGCAGTTCATAGATTTTTGAGATGGT